GGCTGGGGGTTCTCTCAGTGGGTGTCGCTTCGTTTACATGCGTCGCTCCTCCATCCACACAACACACACACACACACACACACACACACACACACGCCCTACCCCCGGGCGCCGCTGCACCACCGCCCTCCCCTTCCTCTCCGCCAGACCAGACGCGGGCCGCGGCGGCGGTCACTGGCCGTGGCGGCGCGGCCCCGCTTGTTGTTGACCCTCTTGGAGCAGCGGGCGGCTTGTTTACCCCGTCCTGCTTTACCCCGCGGGGCTGTGAAGCTGCCGACGATCCAGCCTCGGGTCACTCAGGTCCATTTCTTCCTTATCGCGGGACTTCCCTCACACCTTGTGGCGTTCTCCCATACTCTCTCGCCAACAAACACTATCGTCAGCTACGCCACCGTGTGGCCCAGGCGCCGCCGAGCCCGTGTCCACCAGAGGGTCCTCGCTCGCACAGGACCAGCCGGCCGCCCCCGCAGCCCCCCACCCCTCGGCCGGCGCCACCCCCCGGGCCGGGGGCCGCGGGGGCGGTCACATCGACCATTCCGAGCCCACCCCGCGGGGGAGAGCTCCCGCCAGCGCACAGAGGAGACCGCTGGAGGCACCCCACCAATGGAGGCGCTCCAGACCCTCCAGGCAAAGGGAGGGCCGATCGAGAAACAGCCAGGCACACAAATTTCATATTTACCTTAAAAATATACATTTTCCAAAGTAAATCTTATCCACAGCCACAGGTACCATATTGTTTTCCGTAGAGTAGCCGGCTCTACGACGGTCGGCCATGTGGCCGTGCCCATAAGACCTATAGCGAGCTCCAGCTACGCCGCGCCACGCGAGCGGAGGACGACAGTGGAATCCAGAGCCCGGCGATAACAATCGGATACCACTCGTGGGGCCGGCGGGCCGGGCCGGCGGGCCCCGCGCGAGGCCTTCCTCCTCGTCATGCGGCGCGTCACTGTCACGCCACGCGGACCCGCCACGCCATACGCACCGACACGTCACGTCACACTATTCGAACCATAAACGAGACAGGCGACATTCATTTTCTTTACCCTGCTCGCGGCACGGGGCACACCTCTGTAACCGCCACGAACCGCGCCCCGCCCCGCCACGAGCCGCCCACCGAATCAATACGAAATAAAAATCGTCGAGTGACTGGCGCGGGCCGGGCCGGGCCCTCCCCCCTCGTGTCGGGTGCCATCGGGACTCGACAACACGACGGCGGTAATGCCGATGGCTACACATATACAAAATTTGCCCAACAATTTTATGTTTTCGAAAAACGTACCCCGTGGTTTTCTTTAGCATTATACACTGGATATTTTTCATTTATTTCTTAAGAAAATGAATTTTGGCACAAACCCCATGTTTTGAAAAACAGAAAACATTTGTGTTGTTTTTTTGGATGAGTGTCGAGTCGGGCGTGACGGTGACAGCCGAGCACGGAACACGCGCTATAAGCCATCCATAAAACTCTCAAAAATCCACAGAACAAAATAAAAGTCCACAAGAGTCACTGCCAATCTAGACCTCTCAAAGACTCATCCTCATTTTCATACAAATAAAGAAACAAACGAGTTTTCTTTCGCGTGCGCGCCCTGCTGCTGCCGCCGCCCGCGAATATACCCACTCCGACGCGCGTGGGAAAATTTGCATCGGAATCGCACACGACGTGAGTAAGTATATAATCCGAGCCGGCTGGAGCGCCTTGCCTGCTGCTCAGCTCAGCCCGAGCAAGATTACATTCGCGGCGGTCGCAGTCGTCGTTATAGAAGTAATAACAATAATACTAGACATAACAATAATAATAATCATGGGTAACAATAATCACAGCAGGTCCTGCGGCGGGGCCCGATCGATAGCGCAGAGGCGCATCGCATCGGCATCGCTTTCACGCAGAACAAACATATAGTGGGAGGGGACATTCAATATCAAGCGGGAAAAGTTGCGGCGGCGTGGCCCTGGCGTGGCGTGGCGGCCCCAGACTTGCTCCACCAC